TGCAAAAATGAACATAAATTTTTAATTAGAAATAATAAAAATATAAATAATGAATATATGGATCCACCCAATATACTATATATATATATATATATAGAATATGCATTATATATATGTCAATATAATTAAATAAAAAGTATAAAAATAGATTATTCTATTGGCCCGCCTCTAATATCGATAGAACCTTCTCCACCATGATAAGGCGGAGAATTTGTTTGTTCATCAACGTTATTAGGAGTTTTCGATGTTGTTGGAAGTGGCGTATAATTGTTATCAGTGTTTGGAGTTTCTTGAATGATAATGATTGGTTTGTTCCAACGATTTCCATGTTGATGATGCTGCCATTGGTGCCCTGGTGGAACATTATGCCACTGCCACCATGATTCCCTATCAGAATTTTGTTGCGGTGTATGTCGTGTGTTATCGGAGGCAATAATCATCTACAAAACACGAAATGTATTTCAACTTTTATAATATATTTGCATTTTATAAGAACATATATTATATAACTTACATTAAATTTTTTTGCACAAATTTTAGTGTCAAAAAATTAACTATTTTTTCGCTCTTTAATTTTTTGACGACTAGAAGTTGTACGAAAAAATTTTTTTAATCTTGGAAAATTATTACTGGTATATACATATAGATGATTATGATTATTCGAAAAGTTTTTCGATACATAAAAGATTGATTCTTTACAAAAATATTTACATTTGAGGATTTCAAAATTGTTGCGATTCTTGTATAAGTACGTACTATGTCGTTTGTCCTTGGATTTTGGCATACCCATTCGATGTCAGTATTAAGTTTATTGTTTTGCTGCTCAATTCGTTGTGGATATCCCCATCCGTGACCAGGATTGTTTCCTCTTCGATCTTGGAAGCCAGGATAAGTCGACCATCCTGGATGAGCTTCAATCTCGATGACTACGAGCGATGCAACAGCGACCAATAGTATCTTCATTTTCTATTGTTTAAAGGAAATAAATCAAATAAGTAAAGAAATGATCAATATAATTAAAACTTAGATCTTGTTTAATAATAATTATATAAAAATTATAAATACACTTTTTAGTTATACAAATTGCATTCCGTTTACTGTCAGTTTTGAAATGCAATCATTAACTGAAAATAATAACGTCACAAATTAAAATGATCGTCATTTTAATAATATTGCCAATAAGTAACTTGAAACAATAAAAAAGACTTATTATTACGAAAAATATTATCACATAGATAGCGGATAGATTTTGCGCACAAATTATGAATTATGTAAACTACATCTTAAACATAAATTTTACAAATGTATAAACTTTAAAAAATTTTTTAATTTGCATCAAGAAAAAAAAATATATAATATTTTTAATTACACAATTTAATCGATAAACATCTTTTAAATCCGTGGATCGCAACTTCATTCAAAGACTTACAGTAATATTGCTAATAGCATCTGAAGAAGAGCCAGGAGCCACGATCATTAACGGGGAAAAACTGCACTTAGCTAATAAGCCGTCATCGCAGCGTCGTTTCCTTATATAGCAATTTATTGACACGCAACCTCCGCTCATCCGGTGTCCAATTGAATTCTATTGACACAATCAACTGTAGGTGAAACGGAGATTTTGATTCATGAATGACGTTAGCACATATGACGCATTATATACAATTTACGAATAATACGCAAAAAGCGATTCGTATTATTAAAATCGATTAGGATCTTCCTTTTCTTCCTTCTCCCTCTCTATTTCATTCTCAAGGTAATTTGTCGTCGTAATACCGGTTTAGAGTTTTGAACGAACCGGTATCGCGAAATTACGCGAATCGCTTCGACGGTTGCCGCTATCATTAAGCAACGAATTACAGGACGCCGTGAGCCGGCGGCCGACGCGGAATTATTGTAATTTATGTCACGGTTCATCGCCACGCAGCCATACGCGTATATACGGTATATACGCATACATTCAGTGTATGAAAGGTCAATAAATGTCGCACTGGTTACGGCGCTCTTTTTTCCAGCTCTACAAAACAAATGATTTCCTTGCTTCGCATCGTATTCAATGCGTTCAGCAGAAAAAGTAGCTTTGCAACTGTTGTAAAAATCTTTAATATGATCTTGCCCTTCCCAGACAACATACAATATTTACAAAATATTTATAAATATTTATAAGATTTATTTTGAACATTTTGTAAATATTTTTGGTCTTAGATTGCGCAGATCATAAACATTTATTATAAATATTTATTGTAAATGTTGTATATATAATAAATGCTATGAAAATACTTAATGAGACATTATAATTCAAGTAAAAGATATTTATTAGAAATATTTACTTATATTTATCATAAATATTACATAACTTGTTTAATCTATTTTAATAATATTTCGAATAAAGCTTTATATGAAATATGTATAAAATATCTATACAACATTTCAAAAAATGAATATTAATAAATATTTGTCATAAATATTCTGTGTTGTCTGGGTTAGTTCCTCATTGAATTTAAACAAATTATATAAATTAATTTAAGAATTTTACAACAGTTGCAAAGCTGCTTTTTTTGCTGAACGCAGCCAATGTTTGCGTATTCAATGGAATATTGTGGATCTTAGTAGATAGACTTATAATTTCAAAATAATGTTTTATGATTTAACAAGGAAATATTGAATTTAATATTTCTTATGCTCCACAACATATCCAAAGTCCAACGAAATCGGTGAGAAGCAATCCGACGGTTTCCTTGTACATAAGTCTTTGTCATTAGTAACACACAATGATTTTAATGAAAACATTGTTAATCTTAAGGAAATTACGATTTCGTCATATTTGTACTATATGTTCAAGTATAATTCAATGAATTTTTTGCAAAGACATATCTTCAAATAAGTAACATATTTCCATTATTGAATTAAAAATTAGTAATCTTATCAATATATTTTCTTTCTAATTGACACAATAAAAAAATTTCATATATTTTTTTTTCAAAAAATTATATTTTTTTACGCGTAAAAATCATCCAACCTGCATGTAACTGTATGTCGGCATACCGGATTACAAATTCAACCGTCAGATGGAACCACTAGAATTATCGTAATGTATCACAAACAACGTTCTTTGACGCGGAGAAAAAAATTAAACGTATTATGGAAAAGAGATTCCGAACATACAATTATTTACCGTGTTTTCGTTGAATTTAACAAATTTTATCAGTTTAAAAGTTAAATGTTCTTTTAAAATCGTTTATCTTCAAGTCCTAATTATATCTAAAAACTACAAAATTTTTCTAAAATAAATAATTTAACACATTTCAAAAAGTATCAACTTTCGAAAATTCATGTTTATCTATCGGTATATCCATATTTCATTTCTTTAATCAATATACGTGCCAAAGGTGATGAATCAGTTCGCATTTTACGGCGAACACACGCACCTCCCCCTCCCCCCTCCCCCTCCCCTCCTCTTCACATTAAAGCGCTCGATAATTCCGAGAGTTCTGTGTTTTTATCGCGATCGCTTTTAGAAAAATCTTCCACGAATATCGTTCGCTTCTTTTTCTCTCGCCGTTCTATTTTTCTTCTTCGACCGGGCAACGGTCCAATCGACCACGGTCGTGTTCCGCGGCCGGAATAAAACGAACACAAGGTCCTCAATGAACGAAAACACTCTTCGTCGTGGAGTGTGGTCGATCGAGCACCACGATGTCTCGGTGTCGCCATAAAGAAATATATGCCTCTTGGACTTTTCGCCGCGCTATCGCAGGCTCTCTATCGCCGATCCCGATTACTTTCGAGGAAGCCGCGCTCGAATCATTCGCGTTAATTCGACGTTTCTCTAATTCTTTTTTTCTTCCCTTTTCTTTTTTGTTCTGATACGTACCACGTAGACATATATACAGCGGGTTCTTGGGCTTAATGCCTCTCTTATTGCGCCGCGCGCAACTATTGCCTTCCTAATGAATACCGTAATTTATAATACGCTGCGGTTGCTTTTGTCGGTTTATTGGGCGCGGAAACCGGGGACTTCAAAGGCATTCTCTTATCATTTACGTTTCACGTTATTTGGTTATCGTCGGGTTATCGATCGTCCGGGAATTTTGTAATTCGATTATTTTTGCGTCCGCGAATTAAATGCGTATAATTACGTGACGGTCTATCTAGGCGATAATTAAGCGGACATTATTATCGATTATAGTATAGAATATTATAGTATAAAATATAAGTTTCACACATTCTAGTTTGAAAAACTGAAAATGCTGAAATGAAATTTCCTCTCCAATGTAGAACGAAAAAGAAAAAAAAATAAAGTGCAAGAAGTTCAACTAAAGAGAATAGTCTTCTAATATTGAATGTAGAGAATATACAAAGATTGAATATTTGATCAGCTTTGACACTCATTGTTTTTATTACTTGAATTTATCAGTTCCTGCGACATTTTTCAAACAACGACTTTATGAGAAAACGGGTAGAGAATAAAGGACGCGATAATGCAATTTTAATGCATACGCAAATACATTAAAATGGCATTACATCGTTTAATGTGCAATTACTTGATATTATTGTATTAAAGACGAGTCAACATGTCATTATGAATTCAGTAATATCGTGAAAAGAAGAAAGTTCTCATCAGGTCACAAACATCATCACTGCTGAATCTCGGGAAATTCGTTTCTCTCTCTTTATCTCACTGTTTTCTCCGGTGCAACTTTTTCTCGAAATAATTGACGCGTTTCTCCTTCGTGGCGATCCCACGAAACGCGCTCACACGTATAGATCCAACACATTGGGAAAAGAGGCCGTGAACATCAATGCGTCCCTCCGCGATGTCACAAGACCGACAGACCGCATGTCCATCGTGTCGATCGGGGACAGAATGGGACAGAAAGAGAGAACGGAGTTCACGAGCGGTCGAGTTATTCGAAATCGAGAATACATCCCCGCGACGACGACAACACAACTATGATGATAGTGTGGGAAGGAATCTTAGTTGTAATGCGGACTACAGAGAGCATTATTTATTAATAGCAAACCCGATGATGCGCGCGTGCATCGCATGTGTGGTGTGTGTATGTGTGTGTGTGTGTGTGTGTGTTGTGTGTGGGTACCACCGCACCGCCACGAGGGAGTGGCGTGGCGAAACGCCATGCTAGAGCGAGCGCAACAACACGATGAATCGTGGAACGGATCCCTCGTGCCCCCTCGAACCCTCTTTCCATCACCGGGATACGATCTTCCTCCTTTTCATCGACTTCTCTCTCTTTCACTTCAGCCACCCCGATTCCGTCTATCCTTCTCGCTCTTTGCGCGGTCCTTTGCCGTACCGCTCGCTCTCTCTCTCTTCTTTCCGCTTCGCGTCTTTCTTGCTCTCGCTCATTACTCGCTCGTTCAACCTCCCTCTCTCTATTTATCTATCTATCTCTACCGTTCGTTTAGCTTTCCTCTCTTTCTCGGTCAACACATGGATGCGATTCTCGCGCGCGCACCCAAGGGACGGTCCGCCGTTGTAGGAGAGTGGACGAACGTTCGCTTTGTCGGCGCCCGCGGCTGAGATCAAACGCACCGGCCGTTTCCTCCTTTTCCCCGCGCCGTAACACGACCAAGGTTCCACCGTTCGTTCGTTCGTTCGTTCGGTCGTTCGTTCGTCCGTTCGTTCGTCCGTTTGTTCGTTCGTTCGTTCCTCCGCTCCAACGTCTCTTCGCCGTAGTCCTCCACCGTCTCCTACCCTCTCGTTCTTTCTTCCTTTTTCCCGCCGGTATCATCCGGCAAACCGCGCCGAGAGAGTCCAAGCAAAACCGACCGACGCCGGTTGGCCGACGAGTCGCTCTCTCGCCGCGTTCGCTCGCGGCAAAACTGTATTATAGCCTTCTCCGTATCCTGTCCTGTCCGGCGCGTCTCGGAGGCCTCCGTCCATCTCGCGACCTCTCCTCTTCCCGCCCCCTCCTCAAATCGTCCCTCTCTCGCGATAAATATTTACCTCGCCCTTTTGACGCCGTTACCGTCTAATCGACGCGATCGTGCGAAATGCTCGTGACAATCAGCCGGCCGACATCATCGATCGACCGGTCGACCGGATGACATCCTGCGATCCGCTAGGATTACCGTACTCGAATGTATGGCTGTGTTCAGCGGAAAACGCAGTTTTGCAATTATCGTAAAATTCTAATATAATTGATTTTGCTCTTAGTTCCTCACTGAATCTAAATGCATAAACCAATCGCAGAGCTGCGTCTTTTGCTAAATGCAGCTAATCACGAGAAAAGAATATATAATGAACATTTAAAAAAAAACGATGGAAGAGATATTTTTTATGCTTTAAATGTAGGTATTTAATAAAGTAAAATTTCTAGGACAAAAAATAATTCTTATTGACAATTCTTATTAGTATAATTTTGATAAATGTACAATTAGACCTTACAAGTATGACCTTAAAAAGGGTGACTCTCTTTCGAAGAGTACAATCGAGTAACCCTACGACTCATCTCATATAGCACAGATCATTCCAGCAACGTTGCAAACGTTACTGTAAGCTTTTGTTCTTTACGAGGCATGACAATAAGTTTCATCCCCCTATCATGTAATTAGCGACGCTGACGTCGCGGATACACGGATTCACGGATTCTGTCTCTTCTTTTTGCAACCAGATAATTAAAATCGACATAATACCATCGAGTTTAATTTCCGATACATTCGAGACAAGCATTTGTCCGCTAAGGGATTAAAAATACGTTGACTGATGTGACTAATATGAATCGAACGTCCCCGAATTATAATCGGTTTTGATTTCTTTTTGCGCTTTATCTGATGCACAGGTGATCACTGGCGAGATCAAAGCGCTTAGGCGAAATTAGAAAGAGAGCGTGTTCCTTGATGGTGGCACAAGACGCATCTGGAAATAGTTTATTATTAATAGATGACTTGAATTCAACACGGAGAGAGAGAAAGAGAGAGAGGGGGAGGGGGAGGGGGAAAGAGAAGAAGGCGAGGGTGAGAGAAAAGGAGAGAGAATTCGTGCATGTTGCCGGCGTTATTTCGAGGTTAGTCTGTACCCGCGTTTTTGAGCCGCGCGTTTTATTTCCCCTTACCGGCGAACAGTCAGCGCGTCGCGCGGCGCGGTGCTCCCTTCTGCCCCCCTTCAAGCCCCTATCCGAGCCGCACCGAGCCACCATCCTGCTCCCTCCGAACCTCCCCGCGCAACCACCGCAGGCTCGCCGCCGTTTCCCTTTTGCCTCTATCCTCCCCTTGCCGCGCCACTCCGCTCATCGTTCACCCAACTCTCTCTCTCTCTCTCTCTCTCTCTCTCTCTCTCTCTCTCTCTCTCTTTCTCTCTCTGCCGCCTCTTAAAAACGAGACTTGCCGCCGACTTTCCGACAAAGGAATAAAGAAAAGAAACAACTAGCCACGCTACTCGGCTGAGGATGGCACGGCACGGCGCAGCACGCCGCAGCGTGGCATGGCGGGTTCGGGTAGAGAGCCTTTCTGTATAGGGAGTGTGAGGGGGATGCTTCGGGAAGACCGACCGACCGACCGACCGGCCGGTCGTTCAATGGCGTCGCCATTCGGGGGCTCGCCCCCTGGGGAATAGAAAATTCCAAACGACGGAATTACGCGATATTTACTCGCCTCCCTTTCTTTCTTCTTCTCTTTCTCTTTCTCTTTCTCGGAGAATCTGTGCTGCGTCAGCAAACATTTCCGCCGTACGATCCGGACTGTACAACCCATTTTAAGATATGACAACTCCGTGAGTATTCCATCGATACGTTTCAAATTTCGTTGGTTTTTAGAATATATTTAGAATATAAAGGAAACGCATTTGATTAAAATACCTCGAATCAAGATTGAATGTATTTTATGTTAAGTGAAGGGTATGAGAGTCGTAATAAATTCTTTATCCCAAAATTTCATAACTTTTTCCCTGACACATCAAAGGTATTTTTTAATTTTCTATATTTTCGTCCTAATTCAGAAATTTTGAACATTTTATTGAGAAATCCATTTGACATAGTAATGTAAATTACTATTGACATTAAAATATTGTAATATTTCTTTTCTTCGGAAGATATTATATTTATCAAAGAAATTGTCTTTATTTGTCTTATTGTTATTAACGAAATTAACTTTCTTTACAAAAGTGTGTAACTATAATTGATTTTCTAAATTATTTTTTCCTTTTTCTTATTCGTCACACGAGCTAGAATTCAATTGCGATCCATGTAACTTTTTCTCCCGAGCGAAAGCGTGAAAAATGACAATTTTTATGTACGTATATACAAAAAAATTTTCACTTTTCACGATTCCTTAGGGTAAAAGTTACACGATTGTTCTCCAGATAAAAGCCACGTTTGAAGGTTCAAGATTCACTTGATATTTTATTTTTTGAAATCATATTACACCATAGAACGTGAGAAGGGACTGACGAGGGACTATGTACAAGCGTAGAGGTGTCAGTATATATGTACCTATATCTCGCGACGTATAATATTTAATTTCGCGCTTACGCAGCCAGCGCGCGGGACGTTGCATACAAAGGAGGCCTGTCGTGTTTTTGTTCAAGTTAATTGTTTCTCTTCCTTTTTTTTTTGTTTTATTTCGATCGAGCGTGTTGCTAACAGTAGCGCACGGCGCATTAGTATTAGGGAGAAGAAGGAGAGTAGAGACGAATGGATGAGGGATGGAAGGTAATCGTCGATGTATAGATGAAAGGTATCCTGAAACACACAAGCTGGGACTCCTTCGGCGGCGGCGACGCCTATGTTTCTTCTGAAACACCGCTAGGAGATAATAGCGTGCGGGTACAGTCTCCAAAAAGAGTATCACCGTTTTGACACGGACGGACTTTCCGAGTAGTATTGCGCAGCACTCAGCCGAGCAGGTCTCTCGGTGAAGCAATGTAAATAAAGAATATCTCGATGAAAAGAGTATAAGAATGCGAAATCGGAGCGCATTTCTCTAATTTGCCTGTCACCCACCATCCCCGCTCTCCCCTTTTCTCTCTCCCTCCCCCCCCCCCTCCCTCTCTCTCTCTCTCTCTCTCTCCCCCTTTTCTCTCTACCCCCGTCACTGTCTTTCATCTCCCCGTCTGACTCGTGATTCATTGAAGCGTCGAAACAACACAACCGCGCGTTTGTAAACGATGACGTGCGTGTCGTCGACGTAAACACCGAAGTGATCTCAATGACGAGGGTATCGATTCTTACAACGGAAACAGACCGGAAGTTTAGGGTTTCCTCTTTCTCTTTGTTTTTATTTTTTAATAACAATCGTGCGATTAAGTTTCTCTACGTGTAATTTTACACACGCGGGAACGGGATCAGCTTATTTACCGCGCGAATACTCGCGCGGGACGAGAGCAAAATAACGAATTCGATCTTTTGGTTATCGATCTTCGTGCACCGTCGTTAAATTCGGGTGATTACTATAACGCGTGATTACTATAATTCAGGTCAATTTTTCGATCACGAGATAAATAGCGTCATATTTTATGTCAGAAGAAGTATATCTAACTTTTTTCCTCATTTATCGCCGTTGGTGAAAAGGTTGAACGTCAGATTGTGAATTAATCAATGAAACAATAATTTAAGAGAATGTCTCATAATCTTGTTTAACGAAAATTGGGGTGTATATGACGTCACATAAAGTTCGTCTTTTTTAGCTGAATTTCTTGCATGGTTTATCTTTTTCTTTTCATATTGGAGAAGGAAAGAGAAAAGATGATTGACATGTGCCAAAAATTCAGTTAAAAAGAACTGATCTACAGAAATAACGTTTTCCACCGGAAAAATTAGTGCAAATGGATTCACATATTTTTGGTACGTAATATACAATTTAATCCTTTTCAGATTATGAGGTTATCGTGACAACAAAGAATATGTAGTTAAAAGAGTTAAATTATTTATTAACAATGAAAATATGTAAATCGATTTGCATTCAATTGCACTCAAGTATGCACCAGTGTTGCACAAGTTTTTTCAGTGGAAAACGTATGTTATGTGATGGTTTCCAAATAAGGACAAAAAAAGAAAAAAATTTTTAATATTATTAAAAAGAAAATCATAAAATCTTGGTATGCATGTACATACATTGTTAAAAATTTCATGACATTTAATGTATTTTTCACGAAAATTTGTGAAATTTAATATACAAGTTTCTATTTAACTAAATTACTGTAACTTAATTTTCAGTTAAAAAAAAATCATTCATTACTTTTAATTTCGTTTACAACCATGAGCTTCATTTACATGTAAACAAAGTATTTCTAACAATGTATATAGTATTAAATATATATAATTCATATTGAATTATTTAAACATTAAAGATTCAGCTTCGACTGTTATAGGCATTTAATTTCTAATATTAATTGTGTTCTAACACGTACGATCTAAACTAAAATTCTTATTGTTCATAAAATCTTGTTCGGAAATCAGGGAAAAATTATAGAATGTTAAGATGAGGAATTTACGTGACAATCCTGATCGAACACATACGAAGCCAACGCAATCGATTTTCCGGAAAGTAATCTAATTTGATGTACCGGAAAGTAATGAAGGTCGATTGTCACTCGGCGAACGTGACGATCAGCAGAGAGTTTCGCGTTAATCTCCGAGATTGACGGCGTCGTCTCTTCTCGCATCGAAACTCGGAGTAATAGCATCAAGTTAATCCTTCCTCATCGTTAAGCTCGTCCCCGCTATTTATAATTAGTCTACGAATCGAATTAAATTACTCTTTAATATAATCATTAAAACTTTTAAAAAGGATCCTTTTATTTTTAATTTGCAAAAAAAAAAAATCAAAACTAGACTTTAAATTATTATATATTTAATTTCTAGAGAAGTTTCATAGAAAAATAAGGAAAGCTTTTAAGGAAAAATAAGGAAACTTTTCATATATATGAATTAAAAAAAGAAACGTTGCGTATGTGGTGCGCGTACTATAATTATATGGACACAGAGTACTGTTACAATTCTGGGTCGTGTAAACGGGGCTTCATACAGTTCATACCGCGAGATTCTTGTAGGAAGACAGCAGCGTTGGCTCTCTGGCGAACGGGTATGCAAAGGAGAAAGAGAAAATAAGAGAAGAAGAGGAGGAGAGTAGGTAGGTAGAGGTTGAAGAGCCGCCGCCGTCGCCGCCGCCGCCGCCGCTGCCTCCTACCTTTGGAGTCCGGGTATCCTCGCCGCCTCGGCTCGGCACTGAGCGAAAAGCACAGAGCGCAGAGCGACGACGAAACGAGGAATACTGGCAGAACAGACTGGCAGGGCAGGCTGCCTTGCCTGGCTGACTGGATAGTGGATGGTACGATGGTGGCTGCTGCTGCTGCTGCTGCTGCGAGTACTGCGACGATGGTGCCGTGCCGACACTGCCGACAGTGACGGTGGTAGAGACGTAGAGTGGTGGTATGGCGCGCGCGGGTAGGTAGGGGAATTACGGGGAACGTGCTTTTAGGCGAGGACGAGCGTCCGTAGTCGTGTCCGAACCGCGAAAGAGGCGGGTTTGTACCTGCATGGAGTAAGAGCCTGAGAGGCGCGGTGGTGGTGGACGAGGAGGTGGTTCACTCCGTACCTCGTGTCCGTGCGATTCGCCTCGCAGTTTGCCTCCATGCGTGGAGCGGCAAAAACGCACTGTCCTTCCATCAGTTCCATCAGTTCCACCGGCAGTTGAACGCGACGTTCTCGAGTGTCGTGAAGAGAGAGACTGTCGTCCGCTCGTAACTCTCGCGAGTATACATCTATTCGTCGGACTCGCTCGGTACGCTTCGCGGCAATCGCGGCAATCGCGGCAAGCACGTGCGTACAGTGTGCGTTTATGACGGCGGCGACGGCGATCCTATCTCGCTTGGAATTTTGATGGTCCGTACGTACCGTCGACCCAAGTACGCACGTTTGTGGCCCTCGTGATTGATGATTTATGGATCTCACCGTTGGATAACAAATCGACCGTGTAGGGGTGCGGAGAGGATTGTTTCTGCGGGGAGCTGCGCCTAACCGGAAGTTGCGAGGGACGTCGCACGAATACCTCGTATATAGTCGTATGCATCCAGGGCGGCGTGTCGGTAGTTACGGAGGAGGAACAAAGTGTGCCGCCGATTCAAGAGCGGGGAGTTAAAAGTGTAGAGGGATCACGGCGATCGCGCCCGCATACACGCACGTCACGCACGCACGCACGCACGAACGTACCCATGCACGCATGAAGGTCCCATGGCTACCGGATTGGTAAAGTGGTGGCGAGCAAGGTTCCTCGCTGGCTACAGACCCTTTTCTGGTAATGAACGCTCCTTCTTTTCGGGACGCACGCTGCGATATTGAGATTCTCGGGTTGTGTCCGAATTGACCGTGAAAAAAGGAAAAAATGCACAATGATTCAAGTCTTTGTCAATATCTCTGCTAACTTCTCAGACGAATCTTTGATTTTAACAAACTGGCAGTAAAAATATAAATAATGCGAGATCGCATACATGTTTGACTGATACTTGGTTTATTTCAGAGTTGGCAAAATTCCACATTTTTTGGGTAACATCCATGCCAGTGAACCGTAAAACCCAGTATTTTCTGGAAAAATAGGCATTTTCTGAAAAAGCCGGAAAAACTGGTCTTTAAAGAAAAAGTAAAATTATCTTTTTACTTTTAAATATATTTTAGTATTATAAATTAATCATTTTTATAATTTTTAATTTATTTTATTGGATAAAATCCGGCACAGTAAAATGTGAAATTTACTACATTTTTTCCAATGAAATTTTCCAGATCTGTGCTTTATATTTAATGACACAAATCGACACGAACATTCTATCTTTCCTGGTATTTTACGTTCAGAGAGTAACAAAGATAGAACGACACTTGTGTCGAATTGTGTCATTAAATGAAAAGCATCCCTGACTTATTTAGAGATATCTAAAAAAATTCTAGTCATTCTTCTCATATTTCCTTTCGTAGGTGAAATAATATTTAATTAAATATATCCTTGTTATTTAACTAGATTTAATCTTTTTCTGATAATAATGTACAACACAGTTCATTAGTTTAATGATTCGTTCGTAAACCTCATATATTTTCAAATTGCACAATTGATTACAATGAATGCAAAAAATATTCGTGCAAAGAAGGCATTTAAAAAAAATTTTATTTTTAGGAAGTATAAACGTTAATTAGTAATTTATTAATAACGAATGAAATATATATTTTTTTAAATTATTTTACCTAAAACGTTAATAATTGAAATATATTATCTTAATAATAACCAAGAATAAAAAATTGTATTATTTGGATATACAAGAAATACAGTCGAGAAATGTAGCGTCTAAAATTACGAACAGCTATTTTTGCAAAATTCTTTTACTTATTTTAAGACAGGACATTCTCATTGTTAATAAATTGTTAATTAATGTTTATTTTTTTACAAATAAGACTTTTTTAAATAAAAATCTTCTCTGTACGATTATATTTTGCATTCACTGTGTATTTATTGGGTGTAATTACAACATAATGAATCGCGTTTACGAAATATTTTTTAAGTATATTAATAACGTGAATTAATGAAAAGAACAATTATCATATAGACGTTACGCAAAACTCAATTCGCCTTAAAGAATTTTACTGATATCGGATATTTGCAGAAGATATAATATAATTCTTACATTAACATTTAACTTATATATTAAAATACCGGTTATTTCAATTTATATATTTCGCCTGTCAACATGATAAGTTTTTTGTAAGTTTTATTTGAAGAATGCCGCGATTAAAATACACCAGTCGAGATAATCCGAAGAAAACTGTCGTATCAGTAAAGCTGCTCTTAGATCATTTTCTTATCAGGTATATTTCCTAGAAAGCAGGTTTTAGAAACTTATCGAGTTTTAGAAACGTAAAAAGAAAAACTTCGAGGTATAATTGATTTTTAAATGAGATGTTCTTTTCAAATAATTAAAATACAAATAATAAATGAAATAAATAATCAAGTCTTGACTTATCATAATAATGATAAAATATCTCCTTTCCATTTGCATTCTATTGTGTATTTCTCGATAAAGTTTAAGTACCTAAGTTTCATACTCAGGTAAAAGACGACAGTCCGATATACCTGAGAAAACCCAGAGAAGTAGTTAAAGAGTGATGCAGGTTGCGGGAGGGAAAGGGAAAGGTTCGACGGAAAAAACAATATGGAAAAAAAAGAATGTGATGAGCGGTGGCGTCTGTACGATCAATCGTGCCGCCGCAAAGGAATGACCGTCGTGGATAATGCCAAGATATTATCGAAGCAGATACCACGTGGTCTTACATCACACTTACACTTTTCTTAGCTTTCGGCTTGTGTCTATAGTCTGTACGCTTGTCTCGTAGCGCGTCGTTGAAAATAGCGCGGAAATTGCGGTGCGTGCGTTTAGTGACAACAAAATTACTCGAGAGAAGCTTCTTACTCACAATTCTTCAATTTCCCGTCACGAATCCGACGAATCTCAAATATGCAGACAATAAAATTGTTCAGATTATACGTACTAATTAACACTCGTCTTTTTTTAATTATTAATAAGTAAAAATGGGAGCAAGGATGTTTTCATGAAAAGTACATTTTAATTATTAAAAAGAAAGCTCGTTTAAAAATTAATTAAATAGATAGATAGATAGATATTTTTCAAACTTTATTCAGTAATTTATATTTTTTAATAAATAAATAATAATTATATACTTCTGTTATGTTTAATTTCATGAAATTTGTGACAATATTTAATAATGCGACAACATGATAAATCTTTGAAGATCGATACGTGAGATGACCCATGAGTCTCAATTATTCTTGTATAATTCATTAGTTGCGTTCTGAGATCGTTATTAAAGTTATTCATTTATCGTGAATTTTTTAGAATAAGCTATTAACTTTACAAATGATATATATGTACAAAGTCAATAATAGATTGTAAATAATCTTACAATTAGTATAACAGGAAACATTGATAAACTGATAACAGATTAATATTGTGACGTATTTCTTTCTTCGCACAATTTCAGAAGACAGATTTGTAATGTGTTCCAGCAAGTTGTAATTTTCACGAATGTTCGTCAATTTTCGCGTATACTAATAATAAACATCAAATGTCGGAGGATTTGTGTATTTCTTGTGCACACTTCTGCATGTAACACATTGAAATGTATGCGTCTTCGTCAGAGTTTTAACAGCCACGTCTATCGTACATACATTCGTGCTTTGTGTTTATTAGGTAGAACGAGTTTACAGCCTATTACACAATAGTTAACGATAAAATCGAAACTTGTAATTCAGGACGTAGGTCGAAATGCCATTCAAGGTGGGACGTTGCGAAAAACAAGATGCAGTTTGGCAATCGAAGTAGAATTAATGATTGAATGAGAGAATCGATCAGCTTTATTTTTTTTAATTTACTATAGTATTAACAGAAAACTGCTTTATCAACGTATTATATATATTATATATTATGCTAATAAATATTTTACGAAAACCGTTGAAAAATACGTAGAGATTCATTTTATTTGTAGCTGTCGGAGCTATTTTTTATATCAAAAGAATGAAATATACTTGATATATTACACTCGAAAAGTTATTTTCACCAAATAAATGGAGCTGATAGGCTTCTACAGGGCTTCGAGCCCTTCAATTATTGTTGTCAAGCTATCAGCCGTTCGGAAACAATAGATACAGGAGAGTGTATTCATGATGTCGATCATCATGAAAGCAAACGTGAAAGCAAACTGTTTTTCAGTTTTCGACGAGCGTCGAGATGTCTGTTCCCTGAAATGATGAAAGTCGAGATTTCGCCGCCTTCGCCGGTGCGTAAACTCAGCAGCATCAAGATTCGATGGTTCTGGTTAGAATTCCAGCTGCTTCCTCCCCGGTTATACCAGTCGCCGAAAGGCTTCCTCCCCGGTGGAACGTCGCGCCGCGTGACTGTCTGCGCGGGGAAGCGTAAAAATACCGCCTGTGCACCAAACACGCCACCGGTCGCGGATGCCGCGATGCGTGTTAAATGCCGCCTTTTATTCGCTCCTCTGCCTGTCTTGCCCGAGGGCAGAAATCGTGATCGTGCGCGACGGGAAAGCGAGCGACCGGAGAACGGCTTCCCGATTGCGTTCCTGGCTCGCGCCGCGCCCAATCGCGCAGGTTTGCACGATTATGTTTAATAAAACGATCTCGAGAAATAATTGCTCCTCTTAAGACTGAAAAGAAAAAAAAAACACGACGATTAGGTCTAATCTAATCTTGACTCCTTTTATTGTACCTGATGGTGAAAGAAGGATTCGGTTGCGTAGATCAAATGAAGCTTTAATAGCCTCTGCATTCCCGCATAATAAATCTTTCTTACCTGTTCAGTTGTAGGGACCAATACAGAAGGTAGCGATTCCGAAGAATTGCTTACGGGCGTCCCGACGACCTGCAACGTTTCGTCACCACCGACGACGGAGTCGCAACCGATTTTAATCTCGCCCGTAGAGTCGCCCCAGGTCGCGGCTGATAGCTCGGGCGTACCTGCTGGACCTACCAATAATGATGAACAGCCTACCTGCGGTACAACGAAACAGCTTAGTTTTGAGGTGAAATACTTTGATTTATAGTATAGATTTAAAATAAACAAAACTCTCGATGATATTAAAAATGAAAAGTGATATTGAATGGCTCTATAAGAAGTCAGCGGATGTTATAATTACTATAATGTTATAATGATAATTTTTTATTTTTCTTTT